TACTGTTTTAAATGTAAGAAACGGTCTCCCTTCTGAAAGGGGTATGAGCTGACGGCTTCTGCCCAGCTCCGTGCGGTGAAGCCAGCGTCACCGCGCCTGCCCCAGCATCCCGGGCGGACCCCTGACCCCAGCCCTAGAGCGAAGGGAGGGGGAATCGCTGCTGGGCTGACTTAGCAGCAGGAGGAGGCTGCCTGGAGGAACAGGCCGATACCACCGAGTATCCGCAATTCAGTCCCCCACGTGCTACCTGTGAGACGGAAATATTTTTAGGCTTTCCAGAAAGATTCCATTTCACAGTTTCTCTGAAAGGTTGTAATTAACTGCAGTGAGCAAAAGAATGCATTTTTGTTTAAAAAAATTTAAAAGTTGGGGAAGGAGAGAGGGCCAATCACCACCGTTGTGTCATTCCTTTGGGGGAGGCAGGTTCATGCCATCCAGGTGGCGAGTGGGAGGGGAGGGAGGAGGGGATGGGTGGAACCTTATTCTGAGTTGATCAAAGCAAACCGGGAGTGAAAGGCACATTCTCTCTAAATGATGCTGTCCTGCAGCACAGGGAGGCCGCCTCTCCCTGATGCTATCGACAAGGGCCCATCTGCCAGTGCCCAGGGGTCCTGGGGACCCAAAGGAAGTTGTGTCGCTGGAGAGTAGACAGCCAAGATCTATTACTGCTGGGTATTTCTGGAGTCGTCCCCCCCCCACGGGAGCTGTCAGGGATACAATAGGTGGCTACTAGTTGCTCGTGCCAGCTCCTTCCTCTCCACCCCTACCCCAGCACTCAGAGATATGCCTTAAGCCAGCTCTACTCTCTCACCATTGATTCGCTTCGGGAATCCTGCTGCTTTTTATTCATAAGGTGTGGTGTTTTACTCCTGAGAAAGGGAGTCAGGGCACAGACAAGGTGAACGGTGCAAGACCCAGATGAGAGGGTTCACAGGCTGGGCTGGCCAGGAAGGAGGCTGCATCAGAGCAAGGCCCACCAAGAGGGTGGGAAGTCAGGACCTCTGAGCTCAAACCCAGACTCTGCAGACCGTGGACTAAGAGCCTAGCCAGGTGAGCAGCAGCATGGCTGGGCCTGGAGAGAAGGAGACCCTCCTTGGTCCTCACTCTCACTGTTACCTTCTTCTGTGCTCGCCATCCATCGCCTAGAGGTGCACCACCAAGTTTGTGGCAGAACTCATGTGTGTTAAAAAGGCCAGGTTGGCTAGAAACACATCCAGAGACACTCATATAGGTCTAAGAGAAAGCTATGTATCAAGAAGTAGTTATGTATCAGGGAAATATCCCAGCCCAGACCAGATCAGGTCCATAAGTTCGATACTAGTCCATAAGTCCCTCCTCAGACTCACACAGCCACATGCAAGGATGCAGAATGCAGGAAGATCCCAGGCCAGTGGGTGCAAAGTCTTGTGGATCCAATGGCAGTGGACCCATCTCCAAAGCTTGCGAAGGTCTCCATGTGGCTCCTCAACAGGAAGGTGGAGGCAAAGAGAGAGGGGGCCTGCCTCCAAAGAGCCATTTATCTTGGTGGCACTCCAAACTGACCTAATGGACAGGCTAAACTCCACCCATATCTTCTTCCAGGTACCATGTTGACACCAAAAAACCTCACTATCACATTGTGGTACCAAAAGTACAGGCGGGAGCAGTGGCCTCTCAAGGAGAGGGCAGGTGGGACGAAGCCTCTGGGGTCTTGGACAGTATTGTCTTCTGTTCCCACCCGGCAGTCACTTCAGGGCAAGTGACTTCAGGACAGGTGCCTGCCAGCATGTGCAGGGCTCAGGGGGACGTGTGCCAAAACTGCCCAGGGACATGGGGGCTACAGATCTTCCTGGAGACCCCGCTGGGGAGGAGATTGTGGTGGGCTCTTGAGCTTGATCCAGTCCTCTTCCCTGGGCGCACTTGCTGTGCTTCTGGTGTGTGGAGAGAGCACCGTCATTTTTGCCTACTGTGTGTCCACACTGTGTGTCCACACTGTGTCCAGTCTCCAGGCACGGGGGACATAGCATGCAAGGCCCCGACTTCTCTGGCTCTCTATATTCTCGCTGTAAAATAAGGATCTTGGGATAAGATCTCCTCCTTCCCCCTTTAGTTCTGAAATTCTGTGTCTTCTCTGCTTCCTCAGGATGAGCATGGCATAGTGCTTACACATTGGGGGTTAGCTGCAAGGCCAGCAGTTGGAAACCATCAGCCTCTCTTCAGGAGAAAAATGGGTTTTCCTACTCCCGTAAAGAGTTACAAACCCATAGAAGCAGTGCCACCCTCTCCTATAGGGTCGGTCTCTGTGAGTCAGCATAGATTTGATGGCAGTCGGTTTCAAATGAGGAGTCCCGGTGGGGGGACTGTGGGTTAAGTGTTGGCTGCTCACTGCAAGGTCAGTGCTTCAAACCCACCAGTCTCTGCAGAAGAACGGAAGCTGCCTGCTCTAGTCCCACTTTACCATCTGCAAAACCTATTTGGCATCAGTTTGAGTCAGAATTGACTGAACAGCAGTGGGTTTGTGTTGCTTTTGTGGGTTCTTTTGTTTATTTCAGGTAACTGTGGACCACAAAGTATAAACTTTTACTCTCTCAGAGTTACATTCCATACACCCGCTGCCCTGCCCCAGCTCCCCCTCTCCCCCACCTCCTACGCTGCTCCACAAGACCTTGATGGATCCGCAGACAACAGCGTACACCTTGGGGGAACTCATTTCTGCAGTTCCTTTTCCTGTTTGGTCCACACAAAATGAGCCTAAGTCAGCGCTTGGTGGCTGAATTGAGAAATGAAAAAATAAATGATCCCTGCTACCAGGAAGTCAGCAAAGATCAGGACTAGCCTCAGGTTACTGCTCCTTGGTCATTAGCGTTTGTTGCAGTATTTTTGCCCCACAGAACAGCGCCTCACCCACTGCCCTCCTCTGACCCACCCCACAGCAGCCAGCCAGACTCACAGGACCCCCTATGTTCCCAAAGTTCTCTCCTTGCATCCCTCCTCCATCACTGCAGTCCCTCCCACAGCTGCCACGTCCTTTACCCCGTGCTTCGTGACTGTGCATTGACTGCTTGAGGGCAGCGTTTCCGTCACCCGTCCTGGTACCCCTACAGGGTCTAGTCCTCGAGTGGCAGTGGAAACACATCGCAATCACAAACAGGGACGTCACAAGGGCTGGTGTCACCCAATGCAGTAACTCCTGGTGTCACCCCTGGCCCGCAGTAGACCTCCTCCTGTGCCATGCCATGTGTAGTCCTTGTTGCCGGTCCTGTTAGGTGCTACCGAGTCAGTGCTGACCCATAGTGACCTCGTGCACAGCAGGAGGACACGCTGCCCGGTCCTGCCCCCTCCTCACCATTGTTCCCATGCCTGACCCACTGTCGCAGCCATGGGGGTCACTCTGTCCCCTGAGGGCCTTCCTTTTATCCGCAGCCCCTCTACTTTATCAAACATGATGTCCTTCTGCAGGGACTGATCCCTCCTGACAACACGGCCAAAGTTTGTGAGAGGAAGTCTTGCCATCTTTGCCTCTAAGGAGCGCTCCGGCTGGACTTCTTCCAAGTCACATGGGTTTGTCCTTTTAGCAGTCCAAGGTCCTTTCTCTCTTCTGCTCCAGCAGCACAATCCAAATGCATCAATTCTTCTTCCGACTCTTTAGTCATGATCATTTACCAGTTTCAATTGTAGGATCATGTAGGATCGAGTGGTCAATTGGCTACGTGTACTATTTCGTAGATGATGATTGATGATAACAAAAACTGTTCTGCAAACAATTTCTGTGTTGAGTGACAGCATTATGAGTGACAATATTGTTAGTAGCAGAGCAGAAACTTTATTTGGCAGTTTTTCCTTTCTCTTAAATTAGAAATTCATTCTCAAAAAAGAGTTATTGATATCAAGTTGTCAAATGCAGACTTCCACAATATTGCAGCTAAAACACCTGAAAAGTTGACAAAATCCGCTGCTGTTAGACCCTAGCAGCAACAAAAACAACCGTGATGAAACCACGAGATTTACTATAGCTAGGTATTGACGGCAGCTCTGATCATAGCACATTTGAAGGATCAAAAGGTAAACGATCAGAGTTGCAGCCTTGTGGGTATATTGGTACATGTAAGCTGGGATTAGGAAAACATATTTTGTCATTGTATAACTACAGAGATATTTATTTTCCAAAAAGCAACACAGTTGTGCTGAAACGCTGTGCAAAGAATGTTCTCAACAGTCATTTTGATGCCACCCCCCCCCCCAAGTGACATCACTGATTGGCCAAAGCTCTTTCCGGTTTGTAGAATGATCCCAACGCATCATGGTTCCCCGTGATATGGATCGAGCTGGTTATCCCACCTCACAACTAAGAGCTGTCCAAGGGGTTGTGGGACTTGCTCACAATCAGGTAGAATCCATGGATTCACTTATTGTATAGTGAATTAGAGACACACCTGAAATCATGATTTTCTGTCTCTAAGTCCAATAGCCTTTCTGATAAATGTTGTTGTCACTGTTAGGTGCCATCCAGTCAGTGCTGATTCTCAGTGACCCTGTGCATATCAGAATGAAACACTGCCAACCCTGTACCATGCCCACCATTGTTCTTACCTTTGAGCCCATTGTAGCCACTGTGCCAATTCACCTTGTCTCCGGTTGTTTTAAATATTCAGTCAGAGTTGATGGATGCATGGGGTGGGTGGGTGGATAGATTGGTGGATAGATAAATGGGCGGATGAGTGGATAGATAAATGGGGGCTGGATAAAGGGATGGATGGGTGGGTAGGTGGATAAGTGGATGGATGGATGGATGGATGGATGGATGGATGGATGGATGGATGAACTGGAGGACCAAGGAGGTTGTGTAAAATAGAAGATGGTGTCAGGATTCGAGAGAAGCTAACGTATGCAGAGCACACATGTAGTTTATCCAAATGCTGGTTCCCATCAAAGGTTTATAGCTCCCTCAAGAAAGAGGGAAGTACTGCTACACCTGTTCCTTGTACAAACCAAAGTTCGCTCATCCGCTTTCTCACTTGCAGGTCTTGACAGTGTCGGGGCCACCTGAAGGAGGGACCAGAGTGACCATCCATGGCGTGAACCTGGGCCTGGACTTCTCCGAGATTGCCCACCACGTGCAGGTGGCTGGGGTGCCCTGCACGCCCCTCCTGGGCGAGTACATCATCGCTGAGCAGTGAGTCCTCTTCTTCCCACACAGAAGGGTTGGCTTCCCCTGGGAGCCTCAGGGTAGAGATGCTCCCCCACTCGATCCCCCCCCAGGACTCACCTCGGCCTGTGCTTCTCATGGGCCCTGCCCAGGGGCCTCTCTGCCCCACCTAGATGCCGTGTTCCCCGCTGGCATCTGGGCTCCCAGCACTGGTGCTGCCGCTGCTCAGGCTCTACCTGCCCGCTGCCCTGCTGACTGAGCCAGTTTCTCAGCAAGCCCAGGCTCCTCCTGGTCCCCCAGCCACCTCCTCCCCAGCCCCCATTGCAATGCATCCGGCACGGCGGGCTGCAGGCAACAATTTGTTTGGTGCATGGGGCTCTGACAGCAGCTTAATCCGAGCAGGGCCTCCGCCGGAGCAAATTCATTTATTTCACTAAGGGAAATGTCAGCTGGAAATTAGAAAATAGGCATGTAGCGGCGGACAGGCGGACGGGGCTCCGGGAGTGACATATGTTCCAATTTGGGGTGTTCACTTGGCAGTGGCGGCGGCCGCTGTGGAGTCGGTGGGCAGGAGGTGGGCATGACGCTGGGGCTGGGAGGGCGGAAGCAGGGATGCCTCCCCTCTGAAGGAGAAAGGGAGGAGGCTACCCACTCAGTCAGCAGGATCTGTCCTGAAGAGTCAGGCCGGGCCGCCCTCCTTTGCCTGAGGACACAGCTCTGCGTGAAATCCTGAAACCCTGACCAAGGGCCTGGCGCTGTCAAGGAACAACCCTCCCTCAGCTCTGCCCTTGGCAATCGCTGGCCCACCCCACCCGCCCCATGTCTCCAGCACCAGCCTTTCCTAGCAACCAGGCAAAATGGCACTGCTTCCTCTCCCAGCAGCCATGCGTCCCCATCTGTTCACGCTTTCTGCTGGGTAGGGACCCTGAGAGATGGGGATGGTTAGCGCCGTTTTCGCTCCAGAAGGGAAATGACTCCCTCAAGGTTGTGCAGGGTTGGAAGTCACAACTCCTGACTCCTAGTCCAGGGCTCAGGCCTGTTCCTGAGCAGTGCCCAGGGCTTCTCCATGTGCCCTTTCAAGGGTCGGGTTCTCGTGCTCATCGGGCCATGGCTCTAGGGTCGCCCGGGGAAGGGTCAGAGTGCAAAGGAGTGGATTCTCAGAGGCAGAGGGCTTTGGCCCCAGCAAAAAAAGAAGACAAGGCGCCGAGCCTGTGCCTGCACTTAGCACCTTTCCAGCCAGAAAGAAGCCTCACAGGAAGGCCAGTTAGGTCCCCGCAAAGACTGTCCAGTTGCCTCTGGTTCATGGGGACCCTTGTGCATCAGAGGAGAGGGGTGTCCCATGGGGTCCTCAGTGGCTGGTTTTTCAGAAGTCATCCTCCTGGCCTTTCTCTGGAGGTGCTTTTGGGTGGGCTTGAACCACCAACCTTGTGTGTAGCAGCCGAGTGTCTTCACTGTGGGCACCATCCAGGGCAGGGTCAGGGAAGGCAAAGGGCAAAGGACGAAAGCCGTGCCTCTGAGGGGGAAGCGAGGGCAGAGCTGTTGGCTCAGGAACCAGGCCAGCCTGCAGCGATCCCCAGGTCTTTAGAGCCCAGCATACAGCCAGACTAAGCAAGGCTCTCAGTCTTACTGACCCAAACCTGCCTGGGTCTCAGGACCTGCTATGGGCATCTGGACACCCAGCCAGCAACTTGGTGGGATGCCAGCAGCCCAGAGGACAGGGCTTCCGCTGAAAAAATACAACCACCTGGTCTCTCCGACCCTCACCAGCCAAACAGAAACCCCAGTTCCTCCTCTACAGGGTCCCAGTAAGAAGTCAGTCAGACGAGGACATGAGACTGAATGGGACTGCAAGGAGGTGTAGCCCGTTCAGAAAATCAGAATGCCCCCACTTGTCCCTGGGCCACAGGAAGAAGCAGTACCTGGGGAAACTGGAAGTGAGGATAGGGCAGAGCCTGGGGAGGTGAAAGGACCCTGGTCCAAAGTGGGTTGCTAACCACAAGGTCAGCAGTTTGAAACCACCAGCTGCTCCAGAGGACAAAGATGAAGTTTTCTATGCCTCTGAAGATTTATGATCTCGGAAACCCACAGGGGCAGTTCTGCCACCCAGTCGCTGGGAGTCAGAATCAACTCCGTGGCAGGGAGGGTGGTGGTGAACGTTCACACTCAATTCCACTGCCATCAAGTCGATGCTGACTCACAGTGACCCTGTAGCTCAGGGTAGAGCTGTCCCAGTGGTTTCAGAGGCTGGAACTCTCGTTCTCCCCTTTTTACGGGAGGAGATGCCTTATCCTTCTCCCACGGATCAGCGGGTGGTTTTGAACTGCTGACCTTGCTGTTTCTATGTAATCCACTCTACCACCCGGGCTCCTCCACCCGAGGCCACCGTCAGACTAGAAAATTGCCAACATGGCTCCGCAGGCCCGGGGCAGGCAGGAGGCAGCAGATGCACCCTGGACCTTCGCCGGATGCAGTCCTGGCTTCCCCCCGCCCGCCGTGCCAGGCTCATTACTGCTCTCGAGGTTCTGGAGTTTGTTAGCATCATTAAAGCCTCCATCCTGGGCAGTGAGCAGCAGGGGCCGTCGTTACTGACGTCTCTGAGAGATGAATTTGGCTAAATGGGCACGGGGCAGAGGCCGGGGCACCGGCACGATTTAGCGGGCATGGTAATGACTCACCATATGCTTGTGCCTCGCCATCTATCTCTCAGCAATTAGGTTAATGTTGGTTAAAGGGCTCCGCTTAGTCTTGCAATCAGCACCCCATGGGTCTGCGGGGGCAGGGGAGGGAGGGGGGACCAGTGACTCCGAACAGGAGGTTCCACGGGTGATGGGATACTGCAGGTGGAGGCTGTAGGTCAACCCCTCCTGGGACAGGGACAGGAGCTCCATCCAAGTGAGAGGTAGTCTTGGCTCAGGTCCCCAGCTCTCATGCTGTCATCCCACACCTGTGAGCTCAGCCACAGCTGGACACATAACTGAGTGTCTGTGCTCCTCTCCCTGTACCTGCACACTCACCTGGGGGTTGGGGGAGGAAGGTACAGCCTTTGGTCCTACGGGGTCCCTGGGTGATGCACATTGGTAAGCCCTCGACTGCTAACTAGAAGCTTGGAGGTTTGATCCACCCCCACCCACCCCCAGAGAGAGGTACCTAAGAAGGAAGGCCTGGTGATCTCCTTCCCATAAACAGCCATTGACACCCTATGGTGCCCACTTCTCCCTACAGTGCATGAGGCCTCACCATGAGCTGGAGTTGAGGCACTGGCCGCTAGTTACGTGAGTCTTTGGAAGGTGAGGTCTGGGAGCCAGGGCAGGGAGCAGAGAGGCCAGAGAATGGAGGTCGAGCCTTAGCACAACTACTGGCGAGCTGGTGAATTCTGGCCATGTTCCTCCCTGGAATTCAGATTTCTCACCTAAAAATGTGCATGTGAACCCAAACATCTCGCCCTGGCCATTATTGGATCGGCACCTCCCACCACTAGAGATCTCAGCCCTGAGGGGTCTTCAGAAGCTCCCAGGCAAATGCAAGGGGGCTGGATCATTGTTGGCCCAGTTGTACCTCTGCAGCAGCTGTTGTCGCCCAACGTGACCCAGGGACACCAGGGACACAGGGCGGAGGCAGGGAAGCTGGAAGACCCCAGGAGGGGACCTTGCAGGCAGAGCTGTAGGCCCGAAGGAGGAAGCACACATAGACGGTGCCTGAGGCCACATGCAACCAGGAAGGCAGAGGGGCCAAGTGGTTCGTTCTCAGGGGCTTGGGAGTCCCCCAAGGAGCCCTGGGTGTGTGGTGGTTAGGCGTTGGACTGCTACCCGAAAGGTCAGCAGTTTGAGACCGCCAGCCA